CTGGTTTGCTGCTGTTTCATTCCAGCTCCCTCCTGAATCTCGGCCTCTGGCTCTTGGTCTCTGTGCCACATGGACACAGAGGGGACCCGCCCTGTGCCCTCAGGTCTTGGAGACACAATCACAGAGCTGTTCGTTTTCGAATTCTCACTGTGCACATAACCTTACACATTCCACGTGCGTCATCTCACGTAAATCTGCCAATAAACTACAAGATAAGTACAGTTATTACTCTTACTTTAACATGAAAAAAAAATGTTGGCAGATAACTTAATTCCTTTCACTTCCAGGTCTCAGAAACTAAGAGAGTCGGGATCTGGATAAGGTGTAATTATTTTAAAATCTGTCCATAAAATATCTGAATGAATCCATGGGACTTAATACATGTATATAGCTAGGCATAAAAATATACGTAGGTGCTTACGGATATGTGCACATGCACATATGAGTGAGTGTACGTGTGTGTATGTATATGTAGATCTATTTCCCAGCTCTGTCCTTGGAGAGGGCCTGGAAGCAATGTCACCCCAGCAGCAATAACACCCCAGATCTAGATTCCTACATACCATTCTCCGCTAAAAGGAAAAATTGTTCCTTGGAGAAATGGCTGATTCCAGGGCTTAGGCAGAGAATAGACAAGAGGAATCTAAAATATTTTGTGCAAAAAAAAAAATTAATTAAGAAAAAACCCAGCAAACTACTCAAAGAATAATGAGGACACAGAAGCCAATTTGAAAGGACTCCAACTGGCCAAATCTGGGATAATTCTGACATCATAATAAATACGGAGTAAAGAATTATAACCTATTGAAAAAAATTAGGAATCCAAGAGTCTGCACTGCTATAAAGTAATAAACACCCTTCTTTACAGTTGAAAACCAACAATAAAAAGATGATAGAATTAAAAAAAAAAAAAAAACACCATTGCCAACCATAATAATAATGGATTCAGGGAAGGATCATGAATCGGTGTTAAAATCAGTGGGAGAAGGTTTGAGAAATAATAAGATATTTTCATAGCCTCAAAGGATACTTATTAATTACACAGAGTAAAATAGTAATTTCCAAGTGGACACCACTCTAACCCCACGATCAAAGCCGAAATCGCTAGCGATGGATTCACCGACGGCACATGCCCCCCAGTAGGATACTCAGCATCGCTTCTGTGACATTCCTGCCCAAAGGGCATGGCACAATCTCCTCGGGAGAAAACACCAGACAAACCCAAATTTAGGGACATTCTTCCAGGTGCCCCCAGTTACTCACTCAGTTGTAGCACCTAAGACACGTGTGTGTGTGTGTGTGTGTGTGTGTGTGTGTGTGTGTGTGTGTGTAAGACATCGAGGTGGAGACAGATGTTGACATTTGGTGAGCACTACTTGGTGCCAGCCACTATTCAAGGCTGAGAAGACAGTTGGGGGCAAAACAGAACGAGTCTCAGCTCTCATGGCCGTTAGCTTCAAGGACAATGTACTTCAACCCAGGCTAGGAGCCTCAAGGTCTTCTTAAATGTACGAAGCCATAGAGTCCTTTTAAAAGGGAGAAAAGAAAGGAACACAAACCAGAACCGAAGAAAAGTAAATAAAAGAGAACTACACAAAAATAATCTCCATGTTATACACACTCATTTAATCCTCACCTGAAGCTTTGGGGTCGATGTAACCATGTGTCAGATAGGGAGACTGAATGAAGCTAGAAGGGCTGCCCAAATTCAGACACCTAACGAACGGTGGGAGCTAACATTTGGACTCGGGGCTGCGGAGTTTCAAAGCCTGGGCAGTGTGGCTTCGTGGACAGGAGCTGGAACCTGGAGTCCATCAGTTGGGGTCAGGGTCAGATGGTCAATTGTTGTGGGGCCGCCCACTGCTCTGTAGGGTGGTTGGCAGCATCCCATTAGATGGCAGGAACGCCTTGCACCCCATTATGACAACCAAAAATGTCTCCAGACCTGGCCAGATGTCCCCTGGGGGACAAAATCACCCCATTTGAGAACCACTGGCCTAGGTGTAAACCCTCATTTCACCACTGACTGGTCATATGACTGTGGACAAGAGTTAACACCTCTGTGCCTCAGTGTCCTCATCTATAAAATGGGAAAATAAAAGCACATGAGGTTCATGTGAGGATTAGATAAGAATCAAGAAAGCACGTGGCCATCCACAGAAGGGCCTTTTTTTTCCCACTGCCCTCTGCTGCCTGCCCTCCAAACACGAAGGCGTGCTCAGAGCAGGTGCACAGGAAGGCGGTCTTGCAGATGGTCAGAGGACTGCTTCAGCTAACCAGGTAATTAACAAATGAACCGGGACTATGCTGGTCACTTGCTGACTGGGATGCCCTGGCAGCCCCTCTCACCACTACAGGGCTGTTTAGATTGAAGACTCCACAGCCAGACTGCGTGGGGTTCAAGTGTAGCTCGGCTGCTCATGAGCTACGTGACCATGAGCTAGTTATTTAGCCTCTTCGTGCCTTAAAAGTGCCTGCCTCTCAGGGCTGGGAGCATTAGCTGGACTAGCACATGAGTACTCAGCACAGGTGTCCCTAGGGTGCCCAGACTGTTATCAGCATTAACCTGTCCTAGCCCTCCAGCCATATGGGCCACCTTCTCTTCTCCCAGCATGCCAAGCACAGTCCCAAGTGCAAGTGCACTTGCCATTCCCTCATGTCACTGCCTGACATGACATATCGAAGTCTCTACAGCACAGCGCACTGCAGTCCAGCCCCGTACGGTAGGGTCTGTCTGCCTGTCTCTCTCCCACTGAAATAGAAGTTCCAAGACATCAGAGCATTCGACAGTGTCTATATTCCTAGGACGCTGCCTGGCTTGTCATAGGCATAAATACTTGAATGGTCTTTTGTAGAAGGGGTGTCCAAAGTCTTCACATAACCCGTGCTTTCCTGACGCAGAAATTGTTTGAACTGGGGCCTAGAATAACGTTTGCCACAAAAGATTTTGCTTCTAGAAGCCGGCCCTTTAGAATAGAACAGCTGCATTTTAGAGATTTCCAGCTCAATTGGAGTTTCTCGAACTGTGTTCTCTGCCACTGTGGTACCAGAGAGCTGAGAATAAGGAATTCCACTAAACAAGGATCCACAAGGTCAAAGGCACTGGGAAACGATGCAGAATTCTCTGCTGCTTGAGGACTCACAATGCCTAAGAAAAGCTCCAAGGAGCCCTAGGTTTGCCAAACTTACTGCACCCGAGACCCCACCCGTGGACATCGGCATCGTGAAGCACGATTTGGAAAACTGCTCTGGTGTTTAAGACTTTTGGTTTACAGATGCAGACGGAAAGTGAGGCCCAGAGAGGTTAACTGACTTATTCGAGGCCACACAGCCTGCCACCTCCTGAAACAGAGCAAGGCATTTTCATTGCCTCTAAAAATTTCCAAATGGTCCACTTAGCTATCAGTTCACAGGAGATCATAAACTAAACACAGACCTCAGATTTCAATACTGGTTTGAGTAAATCAGATTGAAAATTAATGTACCAAATAAGATTTGCTTTCAATCTCACGGCTCCAAAAATAGTCAGTTATTCATTCGACAAATATTTATTAAGCAATATGGGCCAGGCACTGCACGTTTTGCAGTGAACGAGACATGGCTGTTCAGTAGACTGACAACAAAATTATCCGTAAAGAGGCCAAAGTGGATTAAACTGTCCTTGATGAGCCTGCTTCAAAGTAGGGACTGACTGTAAGAAATTACATATTCACGTTTCATTTGCTTCCAATAACCACGCTCACATTTAGATCTAATGGTAATAATACGCTCTCGACTGGAATGGTTCTGGAAGAAAACGCTGCCCTTCACTGTGCAGACTGCAGAGAGGAAAAGCAAAAGCACTGGAATTCATTGGGCTTTGTTTTGTGGAGCATCTCAAGCGACAGATTTTCCAATTTCAAGTTCATTCAAATTTCATCTCTGGCTCTTACATTATCGTGGAAATGCAGTCTCTCATTTCCTGTTGTCTACAAATGTAAATGCCTATTTAAAAATGGGATTTGTTTCATAAAGCATATCAACTCACACATCTCAAAGCCTTTTGGAAAGCATGGTTGATGAAAATCCACATAACTTTAAAATACTATAGATTTGAGGTTGAGAAAGATCTAGCCATTATTCTACATGATCTTCTCACTGAACTAATAGCATCTGTCTAGGAATCGGGAGACTCAATTTATGGTATGATATTTTTAAAAGAAGATTCCAAATCAGAAAAAATTTAGAATTCCAGGCTTGAGACATTCATATTTGATGCCGTGGCATTGAAGCTAGTTTTCAGCACAGACGCAAGATGTGTGTATCTAAGTCTTTAAAAAGCTGAAAAATTGGAAGCTCTTCAAGATCCCTTACCTTGTGTGCATCTTTAAGGCCAAACTGTAAGGAAAATCTTTCCTGCTTTGAAAGGACGCGCTCATGGTTTCTCCAGGAGTCATCCTCAAAACAGTCTGGCAAAGCAAAGAGAATCACCCCATAACACACATGATTTGTGTTTATTAGACACCAGAACAAGTCAGGAAGAATTCCTCAGCTGTAGTAAAGACATAAAGCAGAAACCGCATGAACACGGGGCCACAGGCAGCAAGATACAGGAGAGCTGCGCACCCCCATTGCAGTACACACACATTGAGCTCGTCCTTTAAAAATCAAGCCAAACTCAAGTCACTGAGCAATCCATTTGTTAAAAGGGGAAGGGAGGGTATATTTTTTAAAGACCAAGTTCCGTTTTTTTTTGTTTGTTTGTTTTTTTAAGGACTAAATATCACCTCCTTCCTTAGCCAGACTGGGGTATATTTGACTGAGTTTGTTCCAATCTCCTCTGCCAATTCTTTCAACCACAAGCCAGTCACCTAAGATTTCTAAACCCAAAACCTACTAGACAGAGACAGAGGAAAAATGATACACTGTGCAGCACTGGAAATGTGTTTGCGTGTGTGTTTCGCATGCTTCTTAAAGTCCGTGCGCTTACACGGTTCAGTGAGGAGCATTTCTTACACGGTTTAACCGAGTCCACTTGGGGTGAAAGGTGTGATTTTACCTAATGACACCTCCCCCTCACAGTCCAGATCCCCGGCCGACTGGGCAGCAGGGTCACCATCTGGGGACGTCTGAGAGATCTGGGGCGTGCGATGGAAAGGGCTCTCCTCCTTGTCCAACTCTGCGTCCCCGGGGGTTACGGCGTTGGGGATCATGTGGATGTAGGTGGCGGCGATGTTCTTGTGGAAGGCCGTGTCCTCGTTGTAGGAGATGACCTCATTGCTGATGTTCACTGTCTCCACTCGGGTGCGCGAGCAGAGCTGGCTGCACCCCAGCAGCTGGGTAAACATCTCCCGGAAGTCAGCATTGAAGGCGTAGATGATGGGGTTGAGCGAGGAGTTGGCCCAGCCGAACCAGACGAAGACGTTGAAGGTGGTCTCGCTGACGCACGGGAAGCCGGCGCGAGGGCCCTCAGGGCGTCCGCTGCAGAAGGGGACCATGCAGTTAAGGATGAAGAAGGGCAGCCAGGAGCACACGAAGACCCCCATGATCACCGACAGGGTCTTGAGGACCTTGGTCTCCTTCTTGATGGATGCCCGCAGGCTGGTGGGCGCACCGGCCACGCGGCGCCGGCAGCTCTGCGCATGCTCCGCCGCCCGCTCCAGGGAGGAAATCCTGCGGATCTGCACCTGGGCGATGCGGTAGATGCGCGTGTAGGTCACGATCATGATGGCCACCGGGATGTAGAAGCTGATGAGCGAGGAGGAGATTGCGTAAATTCGGTTCAGGCTGGAGTCACAGTTCTCGGCCATCACTTCCGGCTCTCCGGCTTCCTCCCAGGGCGTCCGGTTGGCCAGGTTGGATGGCGGGTCCACCCCGTCCCAGGAGCCTACCTTGTCCCTGTGCCAGTGGAGCTGGACTGGGATGAAGGAGATGAGAATGGACAAGGTCCAGGCCAGACCCACCATGACCAAGGCCACATGCTGGGTCATCTTGCGCTGGTAGCAAAAAGGCCTAGAAATCGCCCAGTAGCGATCCACGCTGATGACACACAGGTTCAGGATGGAGGCGGTGGAGCACATGATGTCAAAGGCCACCCAGACATCGCAGAAGGCCCCAAAGGGCCAGTAACCGGCCACCTCGGCGACCGCCTTCCAGGGCATGACCAGTAGCGCCACAAAGAGGTCAGACACGGCCAGAGACGCGATGAAAAGGTTGGTCATCCTGGCACGTAAGTGGCGGCTTCGCACGATGGCCGCGCACACCAGCACGTTGCCCACCAGGGTCCAGACGATGAGCAGCGTCAGGAGGCCGGCGGTGACCACCTGCGCGGGCCCCAGCGGCGCCGCCCCCTCGGCGCCCCCCTCGGCGCCTCCCGGAGCCGGCGGCAGCTGCC